ACACAGAAAACTCTGTAGACCACCCTACACAGTAAAATTGTGCCTGACACAGAAAAACTGTGTACTAACATCTAGGTAGAAGTATACTATCATGGCGAAGGAATGTGACTACTTTTGCCAAATCCCTGCTCTGCCACTTATTCAGCTGCATGATCCTGAACCAGTTATTTAGTCCCTCTAAGCCTCAATTTTATTTTCAATATAAACTATAACTATTAAAAGGTTTTACAAGATACAAAGCACTTAGCAGAGCATTTGGCCTACAATAAATACATGAAATGTTTGCTATGATTTTAAGAAAGAAGAACAAAGCTGCTGGCAATACAATGACAGATTTTAAGATATACTATAGAGCTTTAGTAACAAAAACAGCATGGTACTGGCACAAAAACAGACACAGAGATCAATGACACAGAATAGAGAGCCCAGAAAGAAACCCACACTTACATGGTCAATCAATTTATGACAAAGGAGGCAAGAATATACAAGGGGGAATAGACAGTGTCTTCAATAAATGGTGCTGAGCAAGCTGAAGAGCTACACACAAAAGAATGAAACTGGACCACTTTCTTAGATCATGCACTAAAATAAACTTGAAATGCATTAAAGAAATAAATGTGAAACTAAAACCATAAAATTTCTAGAAGAAACCATAGGCAGTAAATTTCTTTGACATCAGCCGCAGCAACGTTATTTTTTAGATATGTCTCTTCAGGCAAGGGAAATAAAAGCAAAAATAAACTGCTAGGACTACATCAAAATAAAAAGCTTTTGCACAGCAAAAGAAACCAACAACAAAATGCAAAGAAAACCTATTGACTGGGAGAAGATATTAAAAAATGATGTATCTGATAAGGGGTTAATACCCAAAATAAAGAACTTATAAAACTCAACACTAAAAACACAATCTGATTAAAAAATGACTTGGACATTTTTCCAAAGACCTACATGTGGCCAACAGATACATGAAAAGAGGCTGAACATCATTCATCATCAGAGAAATGCAAATCAAAACCACACTGAGATATCACCTTACACCTGTTAGAGTGGAGAGAATCAAAAAGACAGTAACAAGATGAGGATGTGGAGAATAAGGAACCCTCCTGCACTGCCGGTGGGAATGTAAATTTGTGCAGCCTCTGTGGAAAACAGTATAGAGGTGCCTCAAATAATTAAAAATAGAGAGGCCCCTGGCCAGCTCAATTGGTAGAGTATTGGACTTTTTTTAAAAGATTTTATTTATTTATTTGAGAGAGAGAGAGAGAGAGAGTGCACGAAAGGATGGAGGGGCAGAGGGAGAAAGAGAAGCAGGAAGCCAACACAGGGCTCAACCCCAGGACCCCAGGATCATGACCTAAACCAAAGGCAGACCCTAACCAACTGAACCACCCAAGTGTCTGTAGAGTGAGTATGTGACTCTTGATCTCAGGGTCATGAATTTAAGCCTCACATTAGGCATAGAGCTTACTTTAAAAAAAAAAAAAAAAGTAAAAGTAAAAGTAAAAATACCATATGATTCAATAATTTTCTGAGTACCTATCCAAAGAAAACTAAAACACTAATTTGAAAACATATATGTACCCTTGTTTATTATAGCATTATTTAGAATAGCTAAGATATGGAAGCAACGTAAGTGTCCACCAATAGATGAATGGATAAAGAAGACACATGGTGTGTATGTGTGTGTGTATAGAAAAAGAATTTTTCTTATAGAAAAAGAATCTTCTGCATTCTTAAGGGAATAATACACAATTTATCATGTCCTTACAGCCACTTCTTTGCATATTTTATATGACAACTGATTAAGCCACTTCTTAGATGTTAATATAATGCAACATAATTTGGATAAAAAATATTACTTTAAAAAAACTATCATCCAAAAGACACTGAAAAATTACACACTAATGGCAGCAGGAAAAAGAAATATTTTTAAGTGTACAAGTATACTGTACTTGTATAAATTCAAGAAAGAAAATTATATAAAGAAAAAGGCAAATATTAAAAGGCAAGTACAGATTTTGCTAAATTGAAATGGTTGCTAAATTGAAAGAAGAACTTCAAGGACACAGAATGGAAAACTAAAATCTGTACAGGATATAGGGAAGAGTAGAAATTTAAATGATGAAACATGAAGCCATGATGTGGAGGACACCTGAGAACTCTCAGAATGCAGTTTAAAAAAAAAAAAAAAAAGGAGAGAAATGACAATAATAAAGAGCACTCTCTAACAATCTGTAGCTTACATCATACGTAATGGTAAGAGACTGAATCATCACCTCCAAAACCGGAAACAAGGTGGGGCACCAAGCTGGCTCGGTCAGCACAGTGTGCGTGCGACTCCTGATCTCAAGGTCCTGAGTTCGAGCCCTACATTGGGTGTGCAGATTATTTAAAAAAAATCTTAAAACAAGCAAACAAATTAACTAAATAAATAAAACTGGAAACAAGGTAGGATGTTTGGGCTTATGAGTCCTACTTACCATCATATTAAAAGTACTAATCAGTGCAATAGGGTAAATAAAAATAGTAAAACACTGAACAAAACAAATAAAACCTGCCCAGGCTGTCTCTATTCATGGACAGGTCATAGAAGACAAGATCAATATATAAAAATCAACTGTGTTTCCATATACTAGCAGTAAACAACTAAAACCCAGAATTTTAAAAACAGTACCATTAAAAAAATAAATGAATGAATGAATGAATGAATAAATAAATAATAAAATAAAAAACAGTACATTTACAATAACTCTAAAAACAAAAAATACTTAGGCACAAGTCTAACATAATACATACTGAATTTATATGCTGAAAAATGAACAAAGCTGTTATAACAAATCAAAGACAACCTAAATATGTGAGAGAGCTATACTCAATATTACTAAGAAGTCATTTCTCCACAAAGTGATCTATCTATAAGTTAAACATAATCTCAATCAAACTCTCAGCTGGATTTTTTGTAGAGTTTTTTTGAAAAGCTCCTTTTCAAATTTATATGAAAAGTCAAACTAGAATATGCCAAACAATTATGAAAAAATACACAAAACAAAACCTAAAGTTAGTAAACTCACAATACTTGATTTTAAGGCTTCCTACAATGCTTCTGTAATTAAGGCAGTATGATATTGGCATAAAAGCATAAAGATAGACACAGAGGTTAATGGAACCAAAAAACAGTGTCCAGAGAAAGAGACACACAAGTCTGTCAAATGATTTTTGACAAATGGGCCAAGGCAATTCAGTGACAAAGGATGTTATCAACATATTATGCCGGACATGTATAAATGAATATCTAAAATGAACATCTTTATGCAGAAAAAAAAGGAAATTTAATCTGCAACTTACACCAAATTAACTCAAAAGGGATCTTAGAGCTAAACATAAAACATTAACTTATAAAGCAGAAGAAAACAAAAGGGAAAATCTTTGTAACACTGAATTAGGCTACAAATTCTTAGATACAAAACCAAAAGCGGGATCAATAAAAGAAATTAACTGATAAATCAAACTTCATTGGAATTAAAAGCTTTTCTTCTGCAAAAGCCACTGTTAAGAAAAGGAAAAGGGAAGCTATGGATGAGGAGAAAATATGTGCAAATCCCATCTGAGGACACATGCCCAGAATACATAAAGAATTAAAAAACGCAACAGAAAGAAATCAAACACTATCTCCATATTATAACAACCCAAAACAAAAACACTCCCATGCATTTCCATATGCTGGGATTGACACCTGAGACTGTCCTTTAGATTACTAACGTGGAGTTTCCTTATCTGTGATAGTATGGAAAAAACAGGCAAAAGCTCTGAACAGATGTTTTACTCATGAAAATATAGAGAGACAAGTAAGCACATAAAAAGATCATCCACATAATTTGTTATTAGGAAAACACAAATTAAAAACACAAAATACCACCACAAACCTTAGATAAATAGCTTTGATAAAAGCAACTGACAATACTAAGTGCTAACAGGGTACTAGAACTCTCAGAGAATGCTGGGGAAAATGCACAATTATACCAATCCTTCACAAATCCTTTTAGCAAATCGGAGACGAGGAGAGAACACTTCCCAGCTTGTTTTACAATTCTAGTCTTACCCTGATACCACCAAAGATACCACAAAGAAACCATTATCTCCCATGAACACAGATGGAAAAACTGTTAACAAAATATTAGCAAATCAAATAGCAGCATATAAAAAGGATGATATTCCACACCAAGTGAGACCCATCCCAGGAAAACAGAGTGGGTTGTAAATCTGAAAATCAGTTATGCAATAGAATCTAATATAAAAAGCCCAAAATCTGTGGGATCATTTAACCTCCAGTGACTAAAGGTAACTGAAGAGCTCTGAATGTTGCTGCTATTTTACATTTGTCCCTAAGTGTTCACTGTGTTCACTAACTGCTGCTCGCACTAACACAGACACACAAAAACAACGTAATTATGTTATTCAGTAAAAATGTAGTAAGTCTTACAGACAGCTACACAGTTGACAAGAAAAACCAACTCTGCCTGAGTACTCAGAAAAGCAAAAAAAGGAAGACTGTCTCATGCCCATTCTGAAGTCACCGAACATATTTTAAACTAGCAACTAAAACTAAATCACACTGTGGTAGCCAATACGTCTGGAAATAATCTTACAGGAATATTGTATATAGGGGCCCCTGGGTAGCTCAGTCAGTTAAGCATCTGCCTTTCGTTCGGTCATGGTCCTGGGATCCTGGGATGGGGCCCCGCATTGCAGTCCCTGCTCAGCCAACGAGTCTGCTTCTCTCTCTCCCTCTGCTGCTCCTCCCTGCTCATGTTCTCTCTCTCTCAAATAAATAAATAAAATCTTTAAAAATAAGTAAATAAAAAATAAAAGGAATATTGTATATATTCTTTTTTTTTTGCCTGACTTCCTCTCATAAAACATTACCACTCTAAAATCCTTAAGGTACAACAATCTTTGCCATTCTTATTGAAAAATATCTTTCGGTTAATAGAATCCTCTACCTTGTGGGGAGCAAGAATCCTCTGCCTGAATTTTTCAACTGTTTCTTGACCCATAGAAGACCAAGCATTGCTGAACGCTTCTGCTTTGTCTTGTCTGAGATGAATGGTCTCTAACTGCTGCTGCAGAGCCGCTGGCTTCACGTTGTGATACACTGCCTATTCAAGAGGAAAAAAAGATCACACATATCTCCAAGATTCATACAGAGACCTCAGATTATAAGTAAATACAAAATTATCTTTAAATGATTTGAATGAAATGAATATTTCCTATTTCTATTGCAGAGTTTTAAAAATTTTACCAGTAATAATATACACAACTGGAAGATGCAGGGTTAAAAGGCCTAAATTATTCAGGCTATGCTTTTCCATTTTTGCCTGTGTTTTAAGTAATCCTAAGTCCACTTCATGGAAAAACTTCTTTGTAGCTATGTAAATGGTACCCTAATTAAAATATCATTTCCTTATTTCACTTAACTATTTCAAAGAAATGTACAGGGCACCTGGGTGGCTCAGTTCTTTTAAGCATCTGACTTGGGCTCAGGTCATGATCTCAGGGTTCTGGAATTGAGCCCTGAGTCAGGCTCCCTGCTCAACAAGGAGTCTGCCTGAGATTCTCTCTCTCTCTCTGGCCCTTCCTCTGCTCATACTCACTCTTTCTCTCAAATAAATAAATAAACCTTAAAAAAACAAAACAAAACAAAGAAATATACATTTATTTCTCAAATAAGAAAAAGTTTTCCAAGAAGCACTTTCTCAAAATTATCAATATCAACTTCCTAGGTAATATATAATAAAATATTATAAACATTTCTAGTAACATCTATTTCTTATCATCATTCTGGAACAATTTTTTCATAAACTTCATGGTTGCTCTGTCCTACCTGATTATCTTTTACTAGTAATGAAAACTCACCAGGATTAAGAACTGTAGTCACCTTCACAATCCGGAATCAAGCCTGTATGTAGTAGATGCCTGGGAGCTTGTCTTCCTAACAGTATCTGTTCTCTACAAGACTCTAGAAGCCACAGTACTATCTAAACTTTTATTTCACAAATATTCTACCAAGTCAACATTCAGGAATTTAGTGAGACTCTATTCTAAGCCCAGCAATGTGCTAGGTTTATACAAGAGGAACTAAAGATCTGATAGGTGCCTCACAGATTCAAAATCCTGTATGAAGGTTGACATACAGGAAGTGACAATGTGCTCCACTCTGACAAGCCAAGGATAAAAGGGATCCAGATGAGGGGAAAGCTGCCCAGGGAAAGATCATGGTGGCAGTGAGAGGAGTGGGACTTGAAAGAAAACTGAATGCACTGGAATGTAGACAAAAACTAGGGAACCAAAAGGGCAGCTCAGTAGGAAGAAACAGTATGACAAAGGGTCCTCTAACAACTACTTCTCTTCTAAATGTTTTATTTATCATTTTCATTAAAGAAATCCCCCAAAATCATTTATTAAATTTCTTAAATAAGAGAAATTTCCCTAAGTTATCAAACAAGGTAACAACAAAAATGTCTTATGCCCGTCTCAAGTCAGTGAAGTCTTGATTCATGCTGTCAAATACTTTACTCATGCTACTCAACATGCAGATTGTTTTCTAGAATGCAATACTGTAGGGAAAAAAGTAATACATTCAAAAATTTTTTTACTATATTAAAATTATCAATTAAAATATATTCGCAGCTTTCATCTGTACCCTTTTTTGGAAGAAATACGATGTTTACAGCTATCAGAGCAGTACCAATCTGCAGTAAACGAACCATGGTTAGGAAGCATGGAGCACTCAGAATACCTGTTCTAAAATGAATGATACTGTTTCAAGAACTAAGTGAAGATCTTGTTTCTCTAGAGAAAATGCGGCCTGAAGTTTTTCTTCTTCTTCTTCACTGAAACTGCTCTCAGCCTACAACATAAAAAGCAAGCTATTAGCACACATTCGAGTATTCAAAACTTAAATACTCAACAGAAGAGTATTTGGAGATTCATGTATTCATATGTGGAAGAGAAACTGAAAGAAAAAGTGAATGCAGGGTGAAAGAAACTGATGTGTTTGTAAATTTCATTATCTCAAAAATCACAGTACAACTCAATATTTGGATCATGCCAAATCAAGCTCATTTTAAATTAAAAAAAAAACCATCATCATCATTTTAAGTTCTATGATTTATAGGAGGTGGAAACTAACAGTAACTACCAAAAGACATGGACATTTACAAAAAACAATACTAGAAGGTAAAACCCCAAAATGTTGACAATAATTAATAGTAATGTCCACCTTCCTCATTCAAATATATTTACTGCGTATTTATTATGTGCTACAGAGAAAGACAGTTCATGCCCTCAAGTATACAATACTCTAGTTAGAAGAGCATGTAAAGGGCAGCCCTGGAGGCACAGCGGTTTGGCGCCGCCTGCAGCCTGGGGTGTGATCCTGGAGACTCAGGATAGAGTCCCGCATCGGGCTCCCTGCACGGAGCCTGCTTCTCCCTCTGCCTGTGTCTCTGCCATTCTCTCTGTGTGTGTGTCTATGAATAAATAAATAAAATCTTAAAAAAAAAAGAAAAGAAAAGCATGTAAAAGCAAATAGTTATTCAAGTAATTTTTATTTTGATGAGTTCTTCAAAAATGTGATTTACAAGAGCATCTAGGGGTACCTGGGTGGCTCAGTCAGTTGGGCATCTGCCTTCGGCTCCAGGTTATGGTCCCAGATCCTGGGATCAAGACCTGCATTGGGCATCCTGCTCAGCAGGGGTCTGCTTCTCCTTCTGCCCCTCCCTCTGCTCTTGCGCTCTCTCTCTTTCTCACATACTCTCTCTCTCTCAAATAAATAAATAAAATCTTTTTTTTTTTAAAGAGCATCTATAGAACAGGAAATTAAGTCTTTTTTATAATTTGAATACATAATTTTCAAGACTTACACATTATACAAATTAATTTGATAACCAAAATATCAGAGAAAATGGTTACCAAACTGAGTAGAACCTCTGACCAGTCCCCTTCTTTCCCTGACCTCCCTTCTTTCAAAATAATCTCCCTGACCTAAAGACACTGGTTTATTAAGTATGAAAAATGTAAACTACCAGAATAACTTGACATAAAAATAACTACTTTATCCACACATACTAAAAACACCTTTCCCTTACGGCTGCCCCTCCCTAACAGCAATGTGGAGAAATTTCAGAAGTTCCACAAGTCCCTGCCTTGAAAGCTTAGGACAATAACTACAAGGCTGTTCAACTGAAGCAGCACTAGAACCTAAAGGTAGCATATTTTGGGAGGTCAGTCATAACTCCTAGTCCCTACTACCTGTTTTATGACTGGGAAAATCATAAACCCAATTTGGCCAAAATGCCAATCACTTACCTCAAGAGAAATGTTTTGGCTTAAAAGTTGGAGAATTTCTGTGACTACCATACATCTTCTTGAAATAATCACGTAGGGGCACATGGCTCCGTCGGTTAAGCATCTGCCTCTTGATTTTGGCTCAGGTCATGATCTCAGGGTCATGAGATCGAGCCCCATGTGAGGCTCCAGGGTGGAACATGCTTAAGATTTTCTCTCTCTCTCTCTCTTCCCCCTGCCCCTCCCCGACATGTGTGTGTGCGCACCCACGCGTGCTCGCTCTCTCAAATAAAGTCTTTTTTAAAATTATGAAATAATGACCTATAGTACCAGATTTTATCAATATGAGGAATATTATAATAATATTCCTGAGTCACAAAATGCAATGAATATTTATAATTTAACTTCCAAGTTGGTCAATCTGATTCCTTTTAACATACATCAAATAAGTTTTTTTGACAAAACAATAGTAGTGACTGGGCAGGTAGAAAGATAAAGTTGCTGTAAGGAACAGGTGAATTAATAACACAAAGCCATTAGAACAGTATTGGAGGGAGCAAACAAACTGGGAATCACAAACACCGGGGAATGGAGCTGCTCTTAGGTTGTGGTGTCTAGTCTCTCCCCCTACATCACAGATTCCTTATAGCCAGGAATTTGAGGACCTATATCTGTTTTCTGTTTTCCACGCAAGGAAAAGAAATAACTCTAAGAATAGCTATTGAGCACCGACTCCATAAGCACCAATGTATTAGGTATGGAAAAGGTAAAGATGGGTAAGACATGATAATTAAGGTATTCAAGGTCAGCGAAAGACTTTGCCATCAGAAAACAAATACTATGCTGTACTAAACTGATGTGACAATGAACCAAGTGTTTTAGAAGCATAGAAAACAAATTATTGAGAGCGACATGGCCAAATCCTTGAAAGATGCCTAGTTTATTCACTAAAGAAGGGAAGAAAGACATTGCAGTTAAGGAAAAGAGTGTATGCACAGACACAGAGGTAGAAAAGTTCATGTTCTAGTAAAAGAGCAGAGTCCAGTGTGATTGGAGCACTTGCAAAGTGGGAATAATATAGCTTGTGGCCATATTATACTATATGATCAGGGACTCCTGGGTGGCTCAGCGGTTGAGCGTCTGCCTTTGGCTCAGGTCGTGATCCCAGGGTCCTGGGATGGAGTCCCGCATCACGCTCCCTGCATGGAGCCTGCTTCTACCTCTGCCTATGTCTCAGCTTCTCTCTGTGTGTCTCTCATGAATAAATAAATCTTTAAAAACAAACAAGCAAACAAAAAGATATGATCAACTGGGCTTTTTTGTTTTTTAGGAAAAAAATATTTGGAGAGATAAATAGACTAGCATCATGAAGCAACAACAGGAGGGAGAAGACTGAGCAGAGATACCAGTTTGAAGACAGTTAATGCATTCTACAGCAGGGACATAAAGGATCTGAACTAAGACTATGAAGAGAACTTGAATTTGAGAGACACATCAGATGAAGAAAGGGCTCTGAAGCCGGCTGGCTCCCAGGAAAAAGAAGAGGAAGTGGTCCAGGTTCTCTGGGTGTGGTACAGAAGTGCTGAACCACTATATTCTACACCTGAAACTAACATTACATAGTATGATAACTAACTGGAATTTAAAAAAAAAATTTTTTTAAGTTCAGGTTCTCATTTAATGGTGACGCCTGGCACCACCAGGCAGAGCAGTTACTAGTTACTAGGTGCTCCATAAACATGTATTGGATGGAATTAAATTTTTACAACGCATTAAAGAAGTTAACTTAGATTGGTGACCAAGGAGTAAATCACTAAACATCAATATGTCCAAAATAATCACACGCTTGAAATAGAAGAGACAGATTCAATAAAAGATTAAATATTGGGGTGATAACAAAACCACATCATTATTTTTAAGAGGAAGAATGAAATCAGAATTTCCCCAAAGCATGTTACACAGAACCTGAGTCCCAAAATATATATCATAATATCACAGTTCCAAGGTCAAACACGTTTGGAAAATCTTGCACACCATATTCACCCTTAAATGTTTACTGTAAACACTACCATAAAATATATTTATATTTTATATATTTATATTTATAAATATATTTATATATTTATAAATATATTTATACATGCATATGTATACACACACGCTCTCTGAAAAGTTCCTTAAAAAAAAAAAAAAGATTAAATTTAACGCAGAGTCTCCCAAATTTTTGACGATGGGACATTACAAAATTTTCTACAGACTCAGTGAGCACTGGGGAACACTGTACTTTGGAGAAAGTTTCTCAAGTAGAAACAGTTTCAGTGCAATCACAAGAAAGTATTATAAACTACAGAAATGAAAAATACAAACCTTCAGGTGAAGTTTTTGAAGAATTCGGGTGAGCAACCGTGGAAACCTTCCTATTTCTATTGCATTTATCAGCGACACAGCTTTTTTCATGCTAAACAAATTTGTAAAACAAAATTTTAACATGAGTTTTCTAAGTGATACTGTACTTGCCATAAGTACACTTGTCTATAATTACTATTGTCTCAAAGTTTCCATTTCAACAACTCTGATTGCTATAAAGAGGATAATGGCCAGCAAAGGAAGCAGGACATTTCCAGAAAGATGCCACCCAAAAGTACTTTTCCATTTGGCAGTTTCTCTTTCTTTGGAGCAAGGTGAACTAATGAGGGAAGCTTGCATTCTGTGGGGAATGACATTAACTCAGCAGCGAGTATTTAATACTCACTTAACCCACAGAGGAACTATGGAAAGAGTGGAAGGAGGAAAGTGGCAATGACACCAAAATACAAAGAAAAGAATGCTGCGCAGCAGATAATGCTATTTTAAGTGTGTGTGTGATAGATAAAATCATTTGAGGTAAGAGTACATAATTGTTTTAAAACCCTGCTTCAACAGCAATAATCAACTTTAGGCGATAAGAACTATTTTACTGCATTATACTGGATATAGCTTACTGATGTGGTGGGGATTAAACAGGTCACTGATGGGAGGAACTGGCCATCACAAATCAAGGAATCCAGGAAGAAGGAAAAACTTTAAAATGACAACTCTCTTCTTCAAGAAGATTCCTGCCCAGTTAGGGCACAAGGAAATTACTTTCCAACTTCAACTACTTACCGGCACACACCACCTGCGCTAGTATTTGTTTTTCATGAAAAGAGAATCACTTCTATTTAAATAATTGCATTTTAAGAGAGGCCTTTATATCACCACCCTGGACAGCCCACCTCCCCCACCAAAAATGAACCAAAAATAAATAAAATGAAATCAAAAGGCATGTTACCAAAGTCTGGCTAGAAACTGTAACCAGCTCAACACTCGGCCTTCAGCTACTCTATCGGCCTGAGGGCTACTCTATCTTGACCGAAAAGGATCTGAAGGGGCGCCTGGGTGGCTCGGTTAAGCGTCTGCCTTCCACTCAGGTCCTGATCCAGGAGGGGGACTCTGCCCAGCAGGGAGCCTGGGTCTCTGTCTCTGCGGCCTCCCGCAAGCTCTCTCTCGTTCTCTCTCAAATACATAATTAAAAAAAATTCTTTTAAGGGATATTGACACGCGTTAGGGATTAGAGTCCGTCCGGCACCAACGCGAGCCCTTAGCATAATCAGGCCTGAGAGAGAGCCGAAAACAGAAAGGCCACAGCTTCCCGCGTCACTCAGCAGCACTCCAGGTAGGCTCGGGTCCTCCCGACCCCACACTCTGGGCATGGCGACACGCGACACACGCCACACGCCACACGCCGGCCCACGGCCCACGGCCCCCAGCCGCCAGGCGCCCCGCAGTCCCCTAGGGGAAGTCTCCCCGGGAAGGGGAGACGCCCACAGTCCCCCGCACCCCTGCGGGACCGCCCCGCCCTTTCGCCACTCCGCACGGCCGCCCCCTCGGCGGGGCCCGTCTCGGAGCCCAGGCGACAGCCGGCAGGGACGTCCCGGCGCCGCCCGCGGCCCCGCCACCCCGGGCAGCTACCTGGGGCTCTCCGGCAGCATCAGCGCCGTGGCGGCCGCCATCCTTGTCGCTCCCACGCCTGGCCCCGCCCATGCGCTGTCAGCCCAGCCAATGGGGGCGGGCCTACGGAAAGCCGGGAGGGCCCAGCCGCGCAGCCTCCGCCTCGGGCGCCGGGGCCGCGGGGGCCGCCGGGTCCTGGCCCTGCCCCTGCCCCGGGGCGGAGGGGAGGGGCCCTCCTCGCGGTCCTCCCTCCGCCGTCGCTGTTCCGCCTCAAGCCGGTCTGCTTGTCATCACCTAGTTATCTATTTGCTTATTAGACATGCGCAGCTGACCCTGGACCCACTGGCGGTTAAGGATGCCCAGCCGGCCACAAAGTCAAAAATCCATGTAGAACTTTGGACTCCCTAAAAAAAAAAAAAAAAAAAAAAAACAACTTCGGACTCCCCAGAAACTTAAGCACTGACAGCCTCCCGTTCCCCGAGTGCCTTGCTTGCCGACAGCCTAGTAGATTGACTCCTTTTGTAGGTTATATTTACTGTATACTATATTATTATAATAAGCTGCAGTAAGCTAGAGACGAGGAAATGTCATTAAGGACGTCCTAGGAAGGCGCGCCGCGGTGGCTCGGGTCCTGATCCCTGCGGCCGGGCTCCCTGCGCAGAGCGGAGGCCGCTTCTCCCTCTCCCTCTGCTGCCCCCCGCGCCTGGGGCTCGCGCGCGTGCGCTCTCTCTCTCCGTCAAATGAAGAAATAAAATCTTTTAAAAAAAGAGAATCAAAAGGAAAATACATTTCAGTGCGGTACTATATCAAAAATCTGAGTATGAGTGGACTTGCGCAGTTCAAACGTGAGTTGTGCGCAGGTCAAAGGTATATATATCTGGATATGAATGTGTATCTTTTTTTTTAAGATTTTATTTTTTTATTCATAAGAGACAGAGAAAGAGAGAGAGAGAGAGAGAGAGAGGCAGAGACACAGGCAGAGGGAGAAGCAGGCTCCATGCAGGGAGCCCGACGTGGGACTCGATCTCGGGGCTCCAGGACCGCGCCCTGGGCTGAAGGCGGCGCCAAGCCGCTGCGCCACCCGGGCTGCCCTGAATGTGTGTTTTTATGTTGTAGGCGTGTATAAACATGCTTAGGTGTCTGTGCATATACATAAACGTTTACTTAGCAGAGAAAGTTTAAGCACCCCACCCCAGCCAGTGTCTGGTCTATGCTGCAGAGGGGCAGGCAGTGGTAAGCTCCCCCCAACACCAGCCTGGGGGGTGTCACCCATCAACCCCCAGGAGAGGTCATGCCACCAGCTCCAGCCTAGGCACTGCGTAATCAGCCCTTCCTGCATCTGTATCCCTGCGACTGTAGGGCACCAGGCAGAGCTTGCAGTGTTATACCTTCATTCCTCCAATAGAATTTGTTGAACACCTATTGTATGCAAGATACTGTGTTGGGCATTTGGGATACAAAAAAACGAAATGCCTGCCCTCAGGATTTGCCGGTACTTCAAATGGACAAATTTTATTGCTCCCCTCTGTGGTCTGGTGCTGAGCTGGGTCCTGCTTAATAGGGAAAATTGATATCCGCCCAGACTGCCATTTAGAATCTCACAGTAGAGCAGGGACACAACATGGGTTCATACAAACCTTTGTCGGCCTTGGGGAAAAACACATAGTACATTGAAAGGATTCGGAGGTGAGAGAAGTGGTAAAGCCCGACCTGGAAACCTCTCTGTTACAGGTGGCATGAAGTCTTGAATGATAGATTATGGCTGGTGCCTTTGAGCTAGTGAGAAATCCGGACTCATTAATGTTTTCAAGTAGAGAAATCTTTGTGATGAGAGCTACTGTTCTTTTTTTTTTTTTTTTGTCTTGTTTTTGGTTTTTGTCTTTTGAAGATTACTGTCAGCCAAATGATGATTGGATTGGAAAGAGGTAAGCAGGGAAGTCAAACAGGGAACTATTGCAATAATCTATGGAAGGCAGTAAAATCCTGTGGTAGTAAAATAGCATTAGAGGATGAAAAAAAAAATAGCAAGTGAGTTAGAGTTATATTTCAGCTGTAGAATCTTCGGGAGCTGGCAAAAGATTGAATTTAATTTTCCTACCTAATTATGTTTTACTTAAATTATTATTTAAATTAGTTGGCATTCCTAGAGCAGCCCAAAAACATCCTAAGTGAAAGGAGAAGCCAGATTGCAAATTAAAAGTGAATAATCCCCACATGGATAATTGAGTCAATTATACAGTGTGTTGAACACATACAAATACATTTAATTCTACAACACTCCACACACTCCCCAATTTGTGCAGTATCAGAAAAAGATGTATGTGAATCTACGTAAATTATAGGTGCCTGATACAAACACAGATTACTTTACCTGGCATCATTTTAGAAGGGTCCCAGTTCCCTCAACTTCTGAATAATTTCAGCGTTTTGTGTTTTAATTCCTTGCCTGAAGTAGAGCCACTAACCAGCTAAAACCATTTTGAATCTGTAATGAAATTTACCTCCTGGTTTCCTTCAAAACCATAGCTAGTATTTTGAGCTAAAGGGCATCAGAATGGTTGGAGCCCTAAATCCATGTAACCTGGAATGAAGCCTCCCCTAAATTTCTTATTCCTGATCTGAAAAATGAGAATAAGAATAATATCTGTGTTTGCTCCCCTGGGCTGCGGTAAGAATTAAAACAGTGTGATGTTTATATGGGAGAAGTACTCTCCCCTCCTTTATAATGCAAAGCACCGACTTCCAAGGATTTAGAAAAAAATAAAAAATCTCCAGGGTTTCTCTTAATTTCATTGATGGGGTTATTACTTTCTATTGGTACTTGTTGCTATAAAGGCTTGATGCAGAGAATAATTTTACCCCTTAAATGAGATTCTCACCCAAAATATTTCTGTGGTCTCTGGAGTATAGGCATGAGTCCATGAAAAAGTCCTTGTTGCCACCGGCTAGAGACAGGATATGCACCTCCTAGAGGCACGGTTCTATACTACACTTTATCCCTAACCCTCAGACTTGTCAACTTGTCTTGATGATGGGTCCAGAGCCCAGATTAGCTGCCCTGATCTGTTATGGCTTCTAAACATGCTGAATGCCCCCAAACTTCTTCCATATCCTTTCCTTCATTGCAACTTCCACCAAATCCAACTTTTTCTATTTTTTCATCCTGTGTTAGCCTGGGTTGTCTACAAAACAGCCTGAGGAAGTGAATTGCATTCACTTTTGCATTAGGAGTGAATGCAGAAGGAAAGGAGGGAAGCAAATACAAGGGGACATGTTATCCAGCTGGTTACAGATGGAAAACCTAGTTTATTTCTCAGTGCTGTGGTATTTCCAGACACACTATTTTGAGGTACGGTGTCTTAGAACAGCCAGGAGGTGGAGTGAGCACATTTGTCTGCAGACTCTTTCCAGTCTTCTTGTTGGTCAAAATTTGTCCCGTTGGCTCACACCTGCCCTCTATTCCAGGGGTATGTTACCTGGCGCTTGTAGGCATTCATGGGAAAATCCAGAGCTTCCATGAGTTTGGCACAACCCCTGCCCCTACCTCTTGGATATCTCCTCTCCCATTACACACCCCACCAAGGGTGACAGCAAGTGGCAGGGACTTTAAGAGCAACAGTTCAGAGTTCACTGAGGCCCCTTTATCAGGAAAGTTGAACAATGAACCAAGATGATGAACCATCTCAGGATGAAGTAAGGCTGAGCATATCTGGGGAGGTACATACCTCAGAGACAGTTTTGCTCCTTGGGTGGAATCTCAACCCAAGAGTTGAATGAGCCTTGAATATTTTAGCTCTTTGGTGATGCAGGCTTTTTAGTTCACATATACCCTGTGTCTGTAACAGCAAGGTTGGAGCACTGTATCCCAGGAGCTAACACTTCCATCTGGGTAAGACCTTTGTCCTGTTTGGGGACCCTCCCTTTGGGCAAGTTCTTTTTCAAGAGCCCCATGGCCACTTCCTACAATATAGTCTGCACCCACTCTCTCCCCACACCACATGATTTACATCTTTGATACCCAGCAGAGTAAATACAAGATCTGGGCCTTTTATCCCCCACAAAGTCTCCTCCAACCCTTAAGGAAACCCTGGGTACACCTAGGAGCCCAGCCCAAATCAACGCAAATGGTTATCTTTGGAGGAAGGGTAACACCTACTCACCCAACAGACTAGTATCTGAGTCCTGGGAACCCAGTCCAGCCAGGACAACCTTGTAAGCAAGCTCTTGATATATATTGTCAAACTGGGAGCATAGGCATTTTATTACGCACCTCGAATATTCTGGCAGTGGGTTGGCTAAGCACCTGGCCTAGGTCCTTAACTCTGTGAAAGTCTGTAGTCCTACAACTCATCCCACATTTCTCAGGTGAACTCTCAAAGGTTTGAGTCACAGAAGGGCAGAAGGCTAGAACTACCAACTACTTAAACCCTGTCCCCAGATGACTAGCAAATGCAAAATTCACATTCCGCTGCTTTGTCGCATTCTCTTGCAGAAGCCATTGGCCCAGTTTTTCTCCTCCTCAACACCACACGGAACACACACCTCCCCCTTCTCCATAACACCCCTTGGTCACAGTTGCTAGCCCTGTTTTTAGCTCTGAAGTCAGCACTTGCCTCATAGGTGTGCGTGAATCGGTTGAAGTGGAACCGAAGAACACCCTTCTAGATGAGAAACATGCGATTGTTCACTCCACATTTCTCCTCTGATTCTCGGGGGAATGAAGTCTCAAAACTGCATATTTTTTTTATGAGTCGGTTATGGGAAGGTTCCTGTTTGATGTGAGATACATCAGGAATAAAGAACACATGAGCATCATCTGTTCTCTGAGTATTTGCACATGAGGTTGTGATGTGGAAAGGAAGCAAGAAGCTCAGGGGAAAAGGAACAGAAAAGAAGAGAAAAGCAAAACAAAGAATAGCATCAAGGTTGCAGGCCACATTTGCCCATAACAAACAATATTAAGCAAACAGAGTGTGGGCAGGGGTATGGGAGGGAAATGTTTATTAAAATGTGATAAAGATATACTTTGTGCTAAATGAACAGATCCCTTTCTACTCTACTCTTAAAGTTGAAAATCATCTCAAATTAT